CCTTACTCCATGCTCGATACTTGCTCCATTCACTGAACAATACAATCCGTGTTCTAAGAGAGCAAGGTTTTGTAATAATCAAGCAAACTATAGCTTTTAAATGAATGTAACTCTTAATTTCTATGAAAAAAGAAGGGAAATTTTGGTAATTTTACTTAGATACGTTGCAAATTTACCTAATTTCACGGTTGTTGTGACTGCTTCTCCATCTTTCCCTTGCTGATCTAAGGGGATGATAACAATCCTTTACATTTACTATTGCGCAAAGCCTTCTAAATTCTGACTTCCTTTAGAGAAAAGTAAAAAAAGAACCTCTTCATAAAGCTTTATTGGTCTTTATTTAGGTCTTATGAGGAGGCTTCTGAATATAAAAAACTATTTTTCATATTTAAGTAGAGTTTCGAGACTACCAGTAAATCAGTAATATGAGGTGAATTCATCTCGTATTACTGGTTTACTCGAAACTCTACTCAAATACGAAAAATAAGTAACATAGTCGATTGTTATAGCAAATATACGTTTACTTCATCGACAATCCCACCAAAGAATATGATATGGCAAAAGGTCTGGGCTTCCTTGAAATTCACATTTTGCCCTGGGACTCAAGGGCACTCGTGGCGATGTGGCCGAGAAGTTAGCGTTTCAAGCTCCCATTCTGCACTGTCACAGTTCGACTCCCGGTGGGGCTGTTGATAAGACCGATGCGAGGTCGAAACTGCAGTCCACCCCAGCCGGAATGACAACAACTTTTGGGAAAGCAAGGCAATGTGAAATTCAATGGAAACTTTATCTATACTCATATCATTGTGGGAAAATTCTTCTACCAGTCCTTCATCACCTCAAACTAAATAGGGTGAATTTATCTCATAAAAGAACTAGTCAAATAACTATGTTTAAGAGATAAGATTATTTATAAAATTAGTGGCTGTTTGAATGTCAATGAACCTCACCTTTTCTTGCCTCCATAATAGATTACCTATGAGGTCTGTAGGACAGTTTCGATATCCAACGAGCTGTATGAGCACATTCAACTTGATTCAGCCTGATCGTCGATTTGAAGATGTAGCTCGTAGGCAATATGTCATTGAAGTTGTTTGACCTTGTTTTCGCAACTTGGTTATATTGGTAGGATGACATAAAGGAATGCACCTATTCCGGAGACCATATTATGCATGATAACTTCCAGAGTCGGACCGCGGACCTGGTATATTCCCAGACGTTTATTTGACATCGTCAGTGAGCATTGTCAGTCTTAGCAACACACTATAACTCGTCAAAGAGACAAGCAGAGACGAGTTGTAGTGTGATGCTAAGACTGGTAATGTTCACTTGACGATGCCGGCGAAACGTCTGAAAATGTACCAGGTCCACGGTCCGTCTCTAGGGGCTCCGGACTAGATGCATTTCTTTAGGTCTTACTACCAATATGACCAAATTGAGAAAACCAGGGCAAAATACTTTTATACAACGGAAGGAGACTGCGACCACACAAAAGGTCACACCATTTTGGTCATCATAGCTTCAAATATAATATGCCATTAAGCTAGAAAAAAAAATAGGCTACGCGAAAGATGTATCTTTTAAGTCGAATCGGACTTCCATATTTGTGGAATGGGGGTCTCTACTGCAGTTGTGATAGCATTGACAGAGGCACTATTTAGAAATATTCATTGTGCCCATTACAGCTATTTTATGAAACATTTGAAAAATAAACAAATCACTTAGTGCTTATATCTTTATTGTACTTGATCCTGCAAAAACATTTTAAAAACTTTTCAAACCTTCCATTTTGGATGCTCACAATTAAGATGGATTAGTCTAGAACAAAAAGTGTTGAATATTATTTCAGAATGTAGGCCGTAGTACAGTGGACTAGCTAATGTCTTTAACTTGATGAATGTTGTATTGTTACGCTTATTCTTGGTCTTAATCTTCTTCGGAAGAAAGAGTTTTACTCGCAAACGTATTTAGCATAAATATACGTTTTTTAAAAATTTACAGGGCTAAGCCTTCAGAAGACGGAATTGAGCTGAATAGAAAAGATCAACTATATTCAGTCTGCCAGTCCGACAAGAAGCCATCAGAGTGTCAGAATATGAACAATTTTCAACCATGTACTATTGAATCTACAGGTCAAGATGAAGCATCACATCTTCCTGAGTATGCAAGTGACACTTTATACTTAGAAGATGAGGAGAACCGGAGTCTCACGCCTCGTGAGATGATGAAAATAAAAAAGCAGATCCAAGCGGACGCAAGAGCTCGGGAGATTCGGTATGTTTAAAATTGTGATATTCACTTAAAATTCGCGTGAAGAACTCACAATGCTCTTCTTCCAGTCAGCAAGTCCACAAGACTGCTTAGCTTGACTGTGAATAAGGGTGGTCTTTTTTAATGATTTTCTTTTATTATCTGAAATAATCTTATTTAAATTCAGCCAAATAGCATGCATCAAAGTAATGCGCTCAACAGTTGACTGATTTTGATACTTCGGGAATCAGATAGACATGTTAGTAGATGTATTAAACGTAAATTAGTATAATAAGAAAAAAAATGATAAAAAGTCAACGGATGCGTTAATTTCTCTAGAGCTCTTCATAGCAAATTTAAGAGAGATTAAATTCTACTTATCAATGACCTTATAACTGAAAGGAAATTGAATTTATGCAATAGATCGGGAGGACATGCAGGAGAGAAGGAATGATACTTGTTTTTAGAGAGAAATTTACACTTTAAGATTAACCATTTCTAATTACTGGAAATTTGCTACGATATCTGAATTTGCTATTGAGTATGAAACAGCTCGTATGTAGGTTAAACATAATAACAAATAGAGAATTTTCTAATACGGTAAATTTACATTCTAAGAAATGGTGTAAATTTTAAAGATTTTTGAATTACTATAATTAACTGGTAATACTGGCCACACAAAAATGCGCAATTTTGTATGCAAAAACTGTGAAGTAATTATTCCAGTTACAGACTGATTTATTGTTCAAGGTTTCAACTCATATTTTAGAGTTATTAAGAGTGCTTACCAAAAAGGTGTCGAGTTAATGTTGATTCTAACCGGCTTTTGTCTGTCATCTGAACTTGAAAAATAGTCCTTTTAAAAGGTCGCCAAAAAAGCACACGGTGGAAAAAATCGAAAATCTTAGACTATTTGTTTGCTTCCTTCCCATTCTTATGAATGTACTTTGGCGTCGTATGTGTTTCGATCAAAATATATTGGCCAGTTGATGGGGTTTAGTGCATTTGTATGAGAATAGATGTGAATGCGGAAGGTAGAACAGAGTAGGGATTTCATTTCATCTGTGTCCACTAAAAGAACTTCTAACTTAAATGAAATAAACTGTCAACTTCATTTTGAGGACAAGAAGGGACGCCAATAGTGACATTTTAAAAATAATTTCTATTTTAGGCATAATTAAGAAATCATTGTGCCCTTATAAGAGTAAACCGACAATGTTGCTTAATTTCATACAAATAACTTACTGCACATTGTCAAAGAATATTCATTTTTTTACAAGATATAATAATTTCTCTATACGTTTTTATTCAGTTACTCATAGCTTAATTCTACCTTATTATTTATACATAAGTAATGGGCAATATATTCGATCATTCACATAATCTTTTTTATTTAACTTTTTTTGTAGCGATGCTACTGAAGAATCAAGATTAAACAAAGAGATCGCGAGACGTCGGAAACAAGAGGCCTTCATACCCTCTACTGTAGGTTTTGCGATGATTTCCTTAAAGGCCTAAATACAAACCCAGTTTTTAGGGAGCATATATAGATGCTCCTAAGTAGTGGAAATCTGCCAAAGGTCTGAGGTCTTGTGGACATTTTGCATACCTTAACTTTAATAAAGCAACGGGAGGAGCATTTTTGTCCCATCTTGATTGTCAAGAGAATAAGAGTGAATATGCTAACTTTCCAACTTTGCTGGTAGGGTTGCCTCTACCTTTTCTAATTGATGATGTACTGGTGTTAAAAACTGAGTTTTTTATTGGCGCCAGAAAACCAAAACCTTATTGGCTTTCAAGAACATAAAATGTGTTATTAGCATGATACCAAATGTTTGGTGTAATATTAAATATATGAATCCAACCCTATTTGAGTATACTACGCTGATGTTCATCCTTGTCTTTAGATTTGATAAAATTAATTAATAACTTTAGTCACCCTTGGTCAGTTAAGGTAATAAAGGGCCGGTAGTTAAATTGTCCACAATGAGATGAGTCTTGCTTTCAAAATGTTTTCTTATCAAGACCTGACGGGACCGAAATTTCGACCTCGCCTGGGTCTTATCTGTCCATTTTTCAGGAATCAGACCCTTGTTTTGGTAGTGTAATGTATAATTTTGACATGTTAAAATTACACTACAATACCACGTGCGTTAGTCACTCACAGGGCGTAAGGGGATTTTAAAGTGGATTAGGTCTCTCCCATATCAAAGTTTTGTAGTGGAATTGTTGCTGAAGCAAACATGCATTTTGCATTACAGTTTACAATGTTACTTGTATTTAAATTAACTATAGTATCATAGCTACCAGTAGATCCTGGATGACTAAAGCTCTTATTAAAGGCCTACTTATGGTCACTTAATCTTCCTTAGTTCGAATTAATTAATATCAACACTTCTTCCTATGCCCAGTTATATTTTTTAAATTGCATCCTCGAGTTTCATAAATTTTAAGTATTACATATTTTAATTTAGAAAATGTCAATAATTGCTCTATAATAGGAGATAAATCTCATTTGATTTACCCACTCAATCTGATCTTGTCTAAGGTTTCGAAACTATCGATCAGATTTAGATACACTAGCATAAGGATTTAAAAATATTTTTAATATTTTTAATTTAATTTTCATCAGCCCTTAAAGGGTGATTGGACACCTTATCCAAAAATTGTGCACATATAATGCTCTTTATACTTTTTCTTTTGTTTAAAAACCTCAAAAATAACCACAATCCCATAGATAATCTGTTTTCTTTGCAAAGATGCTTGTGATGATTTTTTATTAACTGCAGAGCAGTTTGTTTAGAAATGATTTTTATGATTTTCACTCTCCTTTAGCAGATACTACCATTATCCACAGATAGAGAGAGACCAGCTCTCCGTCTTCCAGAGGAGATATACGCTGATCATCTGCGCAAGACAGCAGTGGAAGAGATGAACAGAAGATCAGGGAACAAGAATTTAAAAGCTGCCCAAGTGAGCCGGAAATGTCAAAGACAGCATAGTGGGGATGACAATGCTGGTATCAGTGCTACTTGTAAGTTACTATGTATGGAAGACTGTAATATCGCAATGGCTTAAGTCTAGCAAATTAATTTGAATATAAATGCAGGCATCAAAGCGGAAAATAAATAGTTAATGGTTATTTAAAGAACTACTCCACTTTTAATTATAATCATAACCAAATGTATGAGTGCCAACAGCAAAATATTAGCAAGGATATATAGAAGAGAATGAATGTTGAAGCATCTGAATCCAACATTTTTATATAATGCCATTCTTAGTACTACACTACAACTCGTCAAAGAGGGTACTAAATATTGATCTTCATGATCTCGGTCTACTTTCGTTGTTTATAAGCTGTTTGACCTTGTTTTCGCAATTTGGTCATGTTGGCAGGAACACCTAGACAAACGCACCTTGCCCGTAGTCCATAGTATGTATGATACTTTCCAGTCAGACAGTGAACTTGGTACATTCCCAGACGCTTCGTCGGCACCGTCCATGAGTCTTGTCATTTTTAGCACCACACTACAACTCGTCAAAGAGACAAGTGAAGTCAATCCCTTGACCAAATGTGTGCTAAACAGTTGTGGTATCTCTTCTTCTGTCTTGAGCTATTCACCTCTCCTTAATCCTCGTATCACCCCTTAAATATCACAATTTATTATTTTTTTATTTGAATCTATTTGAAACTATTTGAAACTATTGACACTCCCCGCTGGTTTCCACATCCCTCCCACTCTGCCGGAAGTGTTTCTCAAAGGATGCTATTTAATCCGCGATCCCCTCTCTTCGGGTCCCATCAAAGTCCCCCTGTCGCTCCGCAGGATCCTTCACTTATTTACCTTTTTCAGTGATTTTACTCTATCGCTGCCATTGGTTCCGTGCTACTCAAGGCGTTATATTCTACACTCTGCCTCCAGCCTTTAATAGCACGTATATGTCAACCTCTCAGAACTATATTCGTATGATAGTAGGGTTTCGAGGTATGCTTGCTATAGCAAACATACGTTTGCTTCATCGGCACTCCCACCAAAAATAATATGATACAACAA